AAGTTGTGCCTGTCATTCCAAAAGTTGTCATGAACAACACCCCTCTACACTCTACGCCCATTCATGACTCACATGTTCATGAAACCGGCACAGAAGAAGTGTCGGAAACGCCCTATGAACAAGTGTCGGGGTCGACCCGTTATCCAATTAGGCCTCAAGGTAAGAAGGCTTCAAAGAGAAAAGGGAGTGCTTCCAAGAATGATTATGAAAAATATATGGGAGAACTTGCTCGTAAAAGTGAATTGACTTTGGCGCAGGAAATGGTTAAATTTGAGGCTGATAAGGCTAGAGATGAGGTAAAAGCTGCAGATGCTGAGAGATTATTTCAAGCTGATGAGAGAGAACGAGAGCTACTTAGGCAAGAAAGGGAAGAGCTTAAAGAAGAAAGAAGGGTTCAACAAGATTGTGACATTATGAAGGAGCCTGTAGAGGCGATGTCTCCGAATTCTAAATATTTTTGGAATTCGGAGAAAACAAATGTGGTGCGAATGAGGTGTGCAAGGAAAGCGAGAGCAAGAGGAGATGATCCTGGCACCATAAGAGGAGATGATCTTAGCACCACAAATTGGTTAGGTGATGATTTTCCATTCACAAGGGACTAGGGAATTTGTTTTTAATCAGAGCCCATAATTTTTCAATCACTTTGGATTGTAATTTATTATTTATTGAATAGAGTATTTTATGTCATTTCCAATTTATTGAATTTATTACTTTATTTAAACTAAGAGTATAATTATTTAATTTGGTAATTTATTTAACTAAGAGAATCTTTGTTCAAAGGACATAAACACACCAAATAAAATTACATAAACAGACCAAATAAAATTACAAACACACCAAATATAAAAAATAAAAATAAAAAAATAAAAAACTCACTAAATGAACTTAAAAAACACACCAAATAAAATTAAATAAACACACCAAATAAAAACAAACACATTAAATGAACTTAAGTTTCTTCAGCTTGTTTCAATTCTCATTGGTGCTCTATCAAGTCAATTTGCTGAGCATTGTGCATATATGGGTCATGAAGTGCAGTATATCGTTGAATGAGTTTTTCATTGTAACGTCCATCACTTTGTAATGGTTCGTGTTGCACGGGTTCTTCGATGGCTTCATGAGCACGATATATTTGTGTTTTGGAATTGTTCATCGTGTCTGGCTCATATTCATCAACGGCATCATAATCGTACTCATCTTCCACAATCATGTTGTGAAGAATGATGCACGTCATCATGATGGATCGAAGCAACTCTAAATCAAACATTTTGGCAGCATCCCTAACAATCTCTCAACGAGCTTGGAGGATATCAAAACAACGCTCCACATCCTTCCTACACCCACAGCTTGCAAAGTGTTTTTCCTTTGCACTTCGTAGACGTGGCACTGTTTTGACAAACGATAACCACCTTAGGTAAATGCTATCTGTTAGGTAGTATGGCCCGTGGTACTTATGTCCGTTGACACAGTACGTGACTCTTGGTGCTTTTCCTTGCAGGACATCGTTGAACACTAAGATTGGGCAAGGACATTGAGGTCATTTTGAACCCCCGGAACATCAAAAAAAGCGTGCCAAATCCATGTATTAAATGATGACACCGCCTCCAAAATGATACTTTTTGCTCTTTTTTTGTCCCCATAAGCTCCTTGTCATGCACTTGGATAGTTTTTCCAGGTCCAGTGCGTACAGTCGATGCTTCCAATCATCCTAGGAAAACCTTGCATCTTGCCCTTCTTTAAAAGCTTTTGCAAGTCCATCTCAGTAGGTCTCCGGAAGTACTCTATGGTGTAAATAGATTTGATTGTGGAACAAAACCTCATCAGGGACTCAAGAATGGTTGATTTCCCCATCTTCGCTATCCCATCCACTTGGTCTGCAGATCCTCCATATGCAAGCATCCGCAAGGCAGCATTAATTTTTTGCTCAGGAATGAGACCCAGAACACCAAAAGCATCATTCTTTTGCACAAAGTAGGAATAATGGTTGCAAACAGCAATCATGATTTTGTTGAACAAATGTCGTTCCATTCTAAAACGACTTCTAAAGTATGTATCAGATAATGCACTATTACGGACAAAATAATCATCCAAGAGATTCGTACCTTAACGTTGACTGCTTCTATCAATGTTTGCGGAACGGCTAGGCCTGGAGATCTGAGCCACAGCTTGGATGACTCGACGGGAATGTGAGGCTCTTTGGCTTCTTGCTTCGTTATCTCTCATTCTACGCTCCTCATCCTCTTCCTCTTCCATCACATTTTTGCCCATCTGGAAATTGAACATTTCTTCCCCTTGCTTAAACAATTTTTTGTCTTACTCATCGATTTCCCACAACATCCTTGAAAAAGACATTGTAAGAAGGAAGCAAAAATTATGAATAATGATAGAGATTTTGATTTTGGTGTGTGATTTCTTAAGAGGATGGTGGGCTATATGGAGGAAAAATAAAGGATTAAATTATAGATAATACCACGTGGCATGCCGTCATTCTTTAAAAATATGATCAAAATCTATCCTCAAAGATTGTAAATAGATTGTAACACATGACGCGACGTGATTGGTTAAAAATCTTATCGGAAATCCATCATCAACGATTCTGAAAAGGTAACGACACATGGTACGACAGCATTGGATAAGTATCTTATCGAAATCTATCACCAAAAATTGTCTTTTCGGATAATGACACGTGACACAACGAGAACGATTAAAAATCTTATCCGAAATTACAAATAAAATTATTTTGTATTATTTTATAATATAAAGAATACTAATATTGTATTGCCCATTGCTATAGCTATTCAGTTTAGGGGTGGAGATGCAAAAGGCAATTACTGTTTATTAAAGACGGTTACTGTTCACTAGAGGCTATTCAATAGTGAGTATAAACTTGCTGGGTTCAAAAATCTGTGCCTCCAGCTTCTGGCCTTCAATCACTACACCTTGCAGCCATCTCCTTCTCAGCGCCTATTTTTTATGGGGTGTGATATCCACACACCCCTTTTTATTTCTTCCACACTTTTTTGGTTTTCGGCCGTCGGATCGGATGAATTGAAGAAGATCAACGAATAGAAATTAACAAGGGGTGTGTGAGAAGTAAAAAAATGATGTGTGAATAGCACATCCCTTTTTTTATATATTGGGGAGAAATTTAACTTATATTTGTGGAGTAAATTGTAGCTATGGTCCCTGAACTTTACTCAAATTGGAGCAATGGTCCTTCAACTAAAAATCCATTACCATTGGTCCTTCAACTCATTAAAACGTGTAGCTATGGTCCCTCAACTAAAAATCTATTACCTTTGGTCCCTCAATTTTAATTCAACTGGAGAAATGGTCCCTTAACTTTATCCAAATTGTAGCTATGGTCCTTCAAACATAACTCGTTTTGACAAAAATTTTTACGTAGTTGACAAAAATGACCATAATTACACACTTTAATGAGTTGAGGAACCCTAATTAAATAAATGGTTATTCCAACATAACATATTTTGACAAAATTTTGAAGAAATTAATGAAAATGACTATAGCTACACATTTTGATAAGTTGAGGGACCAATGGTAATGGATTTTTACTTGAGGGATCATTGCTCCAATTTGAGTAAAGTTCAGGGACCATTGCTACAATTTACTCTATATTTGTGAGCAGTTTGGCGTGGAGAGCCTGCAGAGATTTCCGAGCTAAGATCGCAGACATAGATGGAGATGGCTGTGATTGCTTTTGTGATTCTGGGGACTGAATTGCTGCTGCTGACCTAAAATCTTCAGTACTTGCTGGCAAAATTGTCCTGTTCCTCGTAGATTGATTTTGGTCTGGTCTTGGTGCACAGATTGTAGAAGCAGGAACTGAAGCCGTGGAAGCAGGTTTGAGCTTCAATAGTTTTGTGCCGAATTTGTGTGGGCTTCGTGAGTTGGGGTTTGGGGCGGCCGAAGCTCGGATCTGCAGGAAGTGTTTCAGGTTTGAAGTTGTGTAGGTTGTGATCTGTGGTATTGGAGGAGTGAAGCTGTGACAAAGTTGAACATGCCGTGATCTCCAAGGAGCCGTGGGTTGTGTCGGCGCAAATCCAATCATCCTTTGTAAGCCTTCAGAATTTACCCGAGGAATTGGACTTTATGCGGAGGCTTCCGTCGACATTCAAACTGCTGATACGGGTGTCCATCGACAGATGGAGCTGAACTACTTACCATTACGGCCTTTGAATGTCACGTTCTTGGGAAATATCACCAGCGATTCCCAGTCAATCACAGGGTACACATCCACAATCCCTGACTAGGCGATGCCGAATTTGCATACATGCCATAGTACCAGAACGATTCCTTCACACTTGAACCGTCCCATGCCACCGTTACATACGTTCAAAAACAATAAAACCAGCTGACCTAGTGTTAGTAAAAGTTGTGATTTTCTTCTAACCAAAGTAGTTTCGTTCCACTTATGTGAGAAACTAATCACTGCCAGTATCCCATGCATGAAGCAGTAATCTCTTGTATGCTGCACAAAACCTATATTAGCTATAGCATGCATGCTGCACAAAATGTGCGGGTCATCAAAGCTCTCCATTCAAATATCCATAGAAAGGGAGAAGATAGAGAAAGAGTTAGCTAGGCCTGTCGACAGGCGTGCAATATGACTTGCAAATGACCTCGGGCCTATAAAGGCTCAATGAAATGCCAATTTGCATGCTCAACTCGTCAAAAATTTTGCATACTGTGCGCGCTATTCTTAATGCCCACCCCAATAATATTTCCTGGATACACCTCTGATGTCATTAAAGCAAAAGAGAGACCATAATAATAATCACAGGGAAAATCAAGTTGCTAATGGAAGTGATCAAGCCATAAACAAGACCAATGAAGATTTTGGTGGAGGAGCTGGAGCAACTACGAAAATAATAAAACTGATTTGTTGCCATGGCGCTTAACTATATTGCCATTCAAGTTTTTCTTGTTACCTTAAAAAGGCAAAAGTTGGGAAGTTTGTTTCATTTGATGTAACATACTAATCCAACGAATAAACCAATCTTATTGATGGAGAAGCTATTCAACACATTTTACCAAAATGCAGCACAAATTAAGAATCATATGAGTGTTAAAGGAAGCAAAATATTATTGAACTACCATATGCAGAACGAATTGTTCATGGTATACATATATTTGAAGTATATATAATAGATGATAATCTTAAATCAAATGCACATAAATCTTTTGATTTTGCGTAGGCCTACCAGCTTCACATTGTCGCAAACGTTTGACAGTTTAGTTTGTCAATCTCAGCTAACAGGAGAGCAACCGAGAATAGACAAATTGCTCTACTTCCTATCTCCTTGAAAGAGCACCCAAAGGAGAAACTGAAATCTTACAGAAAAGGCCTGCATCATTTCCGCAAGACAAAATTATAAAAACTGATGTTCTTTAATAAGGAAAAAAAAAATGAATATGCAAACATACTATGTACCAATTCATTAAAAAATTGGTTACTGCACAACCATACATTATAATCATCCATTCTAACTCTCAGCTACGCTATCGATAGTGGAATGGATAATAATTCTATAAACAATTTCACACAATGCCATTAGTCAAATGCCTGATGCTTGACTTATACAAGAAAATATAACTCAAATATCCTAAAACATGGGTTGATTTAGTTCCATTACAAATAATCGTAATACACAAGTGCTAACAGTAGTTCAGAAAATCCACAAAAACAAACAGAAAACGGAATTAGACATGCAAAACCAAACATTGGACAACAGAACTTGGAAGATGCCAACTGCCATAAATAATATGCAGGGAAGAATTTGATGCTTTCCCAATATGTTAGCCAAATTCCAAATCTATACACCCCTAGCTCTGTATACCGATACGGGCCTATTATGAATGTTAAACACACCAGATTGGACAAGAAAACCAGTTTATATTTTGATGGATTTTAACATTCATAATAGGCCGTATCAGTATACAGAGCTAGAGGTGTATAGATTTAATGGCTAACATATCGAAAATGCATCAAATTCTTCCCATCAAAACCAGTTTATATAATACCAGAACAACCCCATTAACACATCATTTACCACTAACACTCCAGTAATTACTCCTCAGCACCCCTCTACACATACAGCAGCAGAGACAATATTTTCATCCCTGTTCAAGAAGTAGTCAATGAATTTTATCTGCTAGTCTCTAAAACGCTCCTTTTCTCACTTTGCCCACCACAAAAGACAATTTATTTCACAAATTAATCGACTTCAAAACTAAAACCGAAATAACGACTTTCCAAATAACCAAACATCAATCAACCTGGACAAATGCAAGACTAAAACTAACTAAATCACATTACTGAAACGTGAGGAACAAATCAATCAATCATTCAAAGCACATAAAAACTTCCACCAATGATCAGAAAGCAACCAATTTCTTCTACTAATTAAATGCTCAAGACATTCACAACCAAATCAAATCATAACCAGTCCCCAAAACCCATAAACCCAGTTGAATTCAACAATTGGACACCAAAACCCAACTGGGTCAAGCTCCAATTCGAGAAAATCCACAAGAAACAGAAACCTACTCATTGAATGTATTTGGGTAATTCCCCCTTCCTCAAGAGGGAGAGAGAGTAATGAGCGGCATCAACGAGGTCGTCAATGTTGTGAAGGGACCTCTCCTCCGCCGCCAACATGAAGATTGCGCGCGCCTCCGCTTTCTTGGCCAGCCTTGCGGCCAGATTCAGCGGCAAGCTAGGCGAGTTGAGGCTTCTGAGTATCTGGCGATACAGAGAGAGGACGCGTCCTCTGTTTCTTGCCAAGTCCTCCGCCGTCGCCCAAATTACTCCCCTTCCCATTTTTCTCCCTCACTTCACTTTTCGCTCGCTGCTCAGAGTCAAGTTGCAACGCCGGCAATCCAAATTGGAGTTTTTTTTGTTTTTTTTTTTTTGTGTTGTAGGATGAGATTTGTAGAATACTAATAATTTTTTTTTTATTGTTTCTTTTAAAAATTAAAACATCTGTTTTTTTATCGTAATGGCCGATCCTCACAGATTTTCTCCCCTACAACAACTAGTAACAACTAAACTGTTTATTGTGTACCCGTTTAAGTTGTACAATATAATTTTAGTTGAATGCACATCTAATAGGGGTGTGTGGAGGGGTGTGCTATCAAATTCGCCTTTGATAAAAAACGTACATAACCGCTTACCTATATGTAAAGAATAATACTACTAGACTGTAAAATTCAGTAGCTCAATGGATAGTGTTTTGACATGTCCATTGTCTAAAGTCGGGCATGATTCTATTATTTTTTTCATTCAACATATCTTGATCATAATAATTATCCATTACAATCCAATCCTCTGTACCAAACGATGCTTAAACATCCAAGTTTACATTCACCTTTAAACCAAAGAATCTATTTAGAACGAGGACAATTTAGTAATTAAATTAGTTTCAATTCCGATTCAAGTAAATTAGCAAACAAGTTATATGAAATCAACTTCTTATTCTAACTCAAGAAAATTTAGAAAACACCATAAAGAATATGTTCAAGTGAACTATTCAATCCAACTCTCCAACATTTCAGGAAAAGATACTATTTAAAAGACTTAAAACAATAATCCAAGGACCATCTAATGCCTTCCTAATAACTGCCGGTAGGTGGAACTGCTGAATATTGTCCGTCCAGAACCTCAATGAACTTGCCAGCAATAGCACTTGCATACAAGCAAGACCCTTCGTACATCTGCAAAGTTAAAACCAAGCCCTAATTAATAAAACCGAACTAATTAAGTGAATTAGGACACAGTTGGTCATGTGGTGCTTGCCTCATTGCACACAAATTTGATTTCTCCTTCTCGTATATAGGACTAGTTTAGAATATCGTTTTATCAAAAGAGAAAAAAGTGAGACTAATTGTGGACTAATGGAAAAAAACAAACCTTGGTATTGAACAAGAAGCTGTAGGAATTGCCAATTTGGCCACCAGCAACATGATGAAGATCAAGCTGCAGCTCGTCAAGAAGCCTGGACACAAACAGCAACAGGTTGATCTTCTTCCTCTGCACCAGTTTGATGGTAACTTCATCTTCGATAATGCGGATATCAACCTCGGTGTATTTGGATTTCCTTTGAAGCCATGAGCTCCTCAGAGAGCCATTGTTGTAGGACTGGTCATGAGGCTCACCAACAGGCTTAATGTTGCAACTCTCATCGTCTCCGGCGGCACCACGATCTTGTTCAGTTTTGTGCCTGTTGATCCTCTCTCTCCCACACCTTTTCTTCTCCACCAGCAATTTCAGCTCATCCACTGTCCTCAGAAGCTCGTTTATGTAACCAATTGCATCTCCCACAATTGATGCTTTATCATTCTTGTATCCCAAGCAACAAATGTTAAGAAAGAATAAAATTATCAAGCCAAAAAAACGGAGGGAAACACTGGAAAACTACTAGCCAAACTGCCACATGAAATTCAAATTGGGATCGGATTTGGAATTCTAAAATTTGTGCCTATACCTGAGTTCGGTTGGGAATCAAATTCCTCAAGGTGAAGAACTTGTCATTCAACTGCTGTCTCCGAACGCGATCAATGGCAAGGTTTTTGGATTCTTTGCGATTTCTTCCTCTTCCAATAGAACCCATTTCTCTGGAGAACTCCATAACTCCATCCTCAAAAAAAGACTCGGTAATAGTGCCATCATCTGGGTAAATGCCCCCACCACTCCCCTCTCTCTCATCGCCGCCGCTACTGAACAATGATCCGTTTCCTGAGCCAGGCAAGGTGTACCCATTGTCGTTATGGCCACTGGTGGTGTTGTATGGATTATCCACATTGAACCCAAGTTCGTTATGGAGCTCGATGTCCATGGAGGAATGATGATTATGGTGATGGTGATGACAAGATAGCTCATCCATCAGAACTTGCGGTGGTTGTGGCGGCGGCGGTGGTAGAGGAGGGAGAGGGTCGTGGTTGGGCATACTCTCTGCTGCAGACTCTGGGATGGAGATTGGGTCAAAGTTGCAGCAAACTGCAAATATTTATGGAGGTTAGAGAGAACTGTATCTTTGTTTTCTTCTCTCTCTCTCCCTATCCAATAGCACAGCTGGGAGTTTGTTACTGAGATTCCCATCGGTGGGGCCCATTCACAATCTCTTTTCTCTGAAATTCTTGATGGGGTGTGATATTCACACACCCTCTTTTACTTCTCACACATTCTTCTAATTTTGACCGTCGGATCGAATGAATTGAAGAATATCAAATGACAGAAATTAACAAGAGGTGTGTGAGAAATAAAATATAGTGTGTGGATAGCACATCCCAAGAATTCTGCCTACCCATTTTGCATTTTCATTCATTCATTTTTCCTTTTTAATTTGTATCCATATTTTACAACTTTTATTTGTTAATTTTTTTTCTTTTATTTGTACTCATAATTTACTTATAATGTGCCACTTTGTTATATATATGTAAAATGTACAAATATTTAAAAATAAAACATTATATTTTAAAAAAAATACAAAATCTGACCAGGTTTCACACAATTCAAATTTGAGCAAAAAAAATTAAAAATCTCTCTTTGGTATTAGTTTTTGCATGATTTAGGAAGGATTTAATATTTTTTGTTATTAAATTTTCTAATTAATACTAAAATTTAACATTTTGTACCATTCAATTAAAGTATTCAAATTAATAAAATTTCAATCTAAAATTTTAGTCAATCAAGAACGAGAAACCAAAGTTTCCCCAACTTAATAATAATGTCCCAACCCAATTTTACACGCATAAAACTGTACTATTTGTAGGGAGGCAAGCTAGTTGTGTGGTTCTATACACTTCCATTCTGCAATTAGGACATGCGTGGACGTCCTAAACATCAAGGACCTTAGATCTCTATACTTTAGACTAAACAGTAAACAACATGTTAATTAATGATATCAATTATCTCACGTTTACTTACTTGGAAATAAGTCGAAGTGATTAACATACGTGTACATCATATATGATCGTTGCATCCGGATAAGTCAAAATTGAGAACTTCTCTAACCAAATGGAGACAAGGTTGTCAACTACTCACAGACAACCTTAAAATATAGTAATTTGCACAATCTTGTCCAACTTTCACTTCATTATTATGGAATTAGTTAGACTCTCTTTTTGTACAAGGGATATTATAGGAGAGAGAGTAAACGTACATGACATCAGGGACGAAGCCAGAACTTTGTGTGAATGGGGGCATCCTCAAACAACAAAGCCAGAACTTCTGCAGAACCAGGTCGGAGAGCAGAACCAGATCAGTTCAGTGGGGGCTCTGCTGCTGCAAACCCAACTCAATTTGAGCAGCATCCCAGCGTCAGAAAAATCTCAATGGGGGCATCCGCCCCCTAGGCCCATGGTAGCTCCGTCCTTGCATGACATGAATACAATATTATTATGTTGTTCTGTATTAAAAGCTACAACGTCAGGTAGAGAAAAATTTATACATTGAATTATTAATACAGAACACCACAATAAAGAAATGTAACTATAACATATAAATCCTGAGAAATTCTAATGAAATTCTCTCAAAATTGAAACTCTCTAACGTCTAATGCTTTTGGTATAGTTTTTAAAATATTCGCACGAAATTAACATTAAATTATTCGATGATAAAAATTCTATAAAAAAAATCTCACTTTAAGAGAGTTCCTTCAAATTTCTCGCAAGTCCTTTATAAAAAATAAAAAATAAAAAATAAAAAAATAATAAAAAGAGGATTTAAAATGAAATAAAAATTCAGTCTTTCTTGTTAAATGGTAGGAATGATTAGTTTGGGATGGCGGTTTGCATGGGAGAAGTGAGAAGTGGGGTCCACATAAACTGTATGAAAAATAGGGCTCCTACCGAAACTCACCGCTGGGGTATAACCAAATTTGCGTGAAATACTCGAAAAAGGTTTTCTTTATTCGTTTTCCTGTTTTTAGTTCTTTTATATATTATATTTGTCTTTCTCAACTAAATCTCTATTTATAATTTATAATTATCAAAAAACCATTCATTATTTCTCCAAATTACAGTTTGAGACGTGAACAAAAACAAGTATAAATCTTACTGTTGAATTTTGTCTCAATGGCAAAATGGTCCTACAAAACTATTGAGGATATATTAGAAACTTATTATTTAGCATACATGTGATATTGCAGAAGGGGAGTTAAATTAGGAGTCTAAAATGTGGAAGTGTGTTTTGGTGTACAGCAAGGAACCAAGTCATCGTCCTTCTCTTTTGGACAGGTAGGTAATTTCAAAAGAATATCCATGACGTTTCTTCTTTTAAACAAACCTTGAGAACCCACCTTTCTTTTTTTTTCTTTTTTTTTAATTGTTTTGAAAGGAGACAGTGACAAGTCACGGTTATCCACCTCTTCCGGAGGTCGGGAAGACTCACAGAAGCATTTCAATCTCCTCCTGGCCACAAGTCTGGCTTCCACACCTTTCTCACTATGGATAAGAGATATTAGGATTATGAAAATTATTGTAAAGGGCTTAGATATTTTAACACATTAATATTCAAAAGGTTTTTGTTTAGTGTAGTAATTTTTACATTCTCGCTTTTTTCTTTAATTTATTTAAAAAGATTGAAAGAAACTAAAATAGTGTATAAAGAGAAAATGAGTGCAGAAAATCAATACCTTTGTAAGTCATCTCCTGCATTATTTTATATTGAACTCGTTGTGAATGATTGAACAAATTTTATGACTTTTTATCGAGTAACAAGAAAAACACAATCGCATTTTCTCATGAATTAGAAAATTATTAAAGGTAAATCTCAAAATACATGTCATGTGAATATTACAAGCAGTCACCCACCCTATAGCTACCACAATGTTTATCCCAAGTTCTTAACTTGATAACCAATAAGGAGAAAAAAGCAAATGAAAAAGAATGAGAGGGCGAAAAGGGCTAAATCACGCGAGCAATCAAGAATTTTTGAGTGGTGATATCCACACTTTTTTTTTACCTTCCATACATCCATCTTAATTTGAATTTAATAAATTGAAGAAGATTAAAAAATAAAAATTAACAAAAGATGCATGGAAAGTAAAAATAAGTGCTTGAACAACAACAATCTTTTAGAAATATGGAGATTGTGAGTGGACCCACCGGTGGGATCTTAGTAACAAACTCCTCGCTGGTGGAAAAAATTTTAATTGTAACCGGAACACGAAAAAAGAAAAAGAAACAACTCTCTCTCTCTCTCACACACAAATTCTCTTTCTATCTCCACCAGTTCTTGATGTTGTGACTTGTGAAGAAATAACGGATCCTAAAGGGCAAAAGAAGGAGACGGTTTTTGTCCAAAACCAAAAATGTATCAAGACACAGTAGGCTGCAACTTTGACCCAAACTCCATCCCTGAATCTGCGGCAGAGAGCTTGCTCGACCTCAACCCGCTTTCCCCACCACCGCCGCCGCCTCCACAACAACCGCAAGTTCTCATGCCTTGTTCAGACACCCACCACCACAATAACACCACCACCAACAGCGGGTTTGGTGTCGAAGAAAACATCAGACTCTCCATAGAAGAGCTTTCTTATCATCATCACCATCACCAAAATCATCATTCCTACATGGACATCGAGCTCCAAAACGAACTTGGGTTCAATGTCGATAACCCATACAACAACACCAGTGACCATTACAACAACATCAACAATTCCCATTTGGTGTCTTTTGAGCACCCAACAAATTGGGACAACAATATTCATGGAGTCCATGATCAGATGCAGCAACAATTCCCGGATAATACTACTGCTACTTCTACTCCATACCCACAACCACCTGACCTTCTCAACCTTTTCAGCTTACCCAGATGCTCCCCTTCCTCTCTTCTCCAAAATCCATCCATCACCTTCACAAACCCCATCCCAAAAACCTCGAATTTTCCGAGCTCTTTGGGGTCCCTCGGAGACCTCCCCAGCGCGGTTGACACCCCACAAGGGACGGCTTCTTCCGTTCTCTATGACCCGATTTTCCATTTGAACCTCCCTCCACAGCCGCCATTATTCAGGGAGTTGCTTCAGTCTCTGCCGCATGGGTACACCTTGCCTGGCTCAGGAAACGGGTCGCTGTTCAGTAGCGGCGGCGATGAGAGAGAGGGGAGCGGAGGAGGGGTTCTGTATGACCCAGATGCAGATGGAAGCCTTGGGAGGCAGTTTGATAGCGGAGTTTTGGAGTTCTCGAGAGAAATGGCTTCTAATGAGAGAGGAAGAGATGTCAAGGGCACCAAACACTTTGCCACTGAGCGCCAAAGGAGACAGCAATTGAATGGCAAGTACGATATCTTGAAGACTTTGGTTCCAAACCCAACAAAGGTACGCATATAAAATTCACAAATTTCACTTCCAGTGTATCCTTGATCAACGATATATGTAGCGACCAAAAATCCCCGGGCATAGAATAGCATACTAGAAAATCCCGTGTTGATTTATTTCATAAAATAAAATGCATCAGTTGTTTTGCAGTTTTAATTGAAACACTATTTCCTCGGTTTTTTGTTTTGCTTAATTTATTTTTCTGGGTACAATTAATTGGAGGAAAGAATGATAGAGCATCAATTCTGGGAGATGCAATTGATTATATAAACGAGCTTCTGAGGTCAGTGGACGAGCTGAAGTTGCTGGTGGAGAAGAAAAGGCGTGGGAGAGAGAGGGGCAAGAGGCGCAAGACTGAACAAGATGGAGGTTCCGCCGGAGACGATGACAACTGTAATGTGAAGCCTCTTGGAGAGCATCATGACCAGTCCTATAGCAATGGCTCTCTGAGGAGCTCATGGCTTCAAAGGAAATCCAAAGACACCGAAGTCGATGTCCGCATTATCGACGATGAAGTTACTATCAAACTGGTGCAGAGGAAGAAGATCAACCTGTTGCTGTTTGTGTCCAGGATTCTTGATGAGATGCAGCTTGATCTTCACCATGTTGCTGGTGGCCACATTGGCAATTCCTACAGCTTCTTGTTCAATACCAAGGTTTGTTTGTCTTTCGTGAGATCAAATAAAACTTCGTTAACAACAATCAAGAACGTATGTAGGACAGACATGTCAAACGTAATCTAAGAAGTTACACACACCGAAAGAAACAACACAATTTCACACGATTAGTTTCACTTGGTTTAACTTTGGTTTTTAATTAATTAGGGTTTGGTTTTAATTATGCAGATGTATGAAGGGTCTTGTTTGTATGCAAGTGCAATAGCTGGGAAGCTCATTGAGGTTCTGGATATACAATATGCAGCAGCGGTTCCACCCACCAGCAGTTATTAGGAAGGAGGCATGAGATTAACCTGCATGCTTGGATTGGATTAATATCAATTAAGTCTTTTAAAAATAGTATTAAAAGAGTATATTTTCATGGTTCAGTGGTGCTTTACTTAACCCTCTTTACTTATTACAATTCATAAAAATTCTACAAATTTGTGGTGTCGAATGCATGTAGACAAACATGCATGTGTTCTTTCTTTATCTTCGAGTTCGTCTAAGAATCTGTCATTGTCATTGATAAATTATCAAGCTTTCTACTAATATTTTGTTGTTCTTTCTGAAAAAAAAATAGCGGACTCCACACGTAGCATGTCATAACTTATCGAATTTTTAAACACCATCGCAATGGTAGAACTAGATTGTCAAAATCTCCCAACGTGTGCGGGCATTAAATGTTACAATTCAAATAGTACTAACATGCTGTAGCTGTAGTTGATAAAGTTGAGAGTAGTAACCCGATTGAAGTTAACCCAAGATACAAATTGTTACACTATACATTACTACCCGTCGATGCCATATAGGATACCATATAGGATAGTTAGAAGATAGCTCATGTGGTAAAATAAATTAGGATTCAAATCTTTATGGTAAAGTAAGTTGGAATTTATGTCCAAAAATAAAAGTTTTGTCAACCCTTCGTTAATTGTTAGTACGAAAACCTTACATATGGTATATAATAATATATATATATAAGTCACATCCCGGCCCGGGTCCCCATCACATCTCAGGCTTGACTCCACCGTAGTACGATATTGTCTGTTTTGGGTCCCGACCACGCCCTCACGATTTTGTTTCTATGAACTCATACAAGAACTTCCTAATGGGTCGGGTCACCCATCATAGAATTGATCTCGCGTGAACTCGCTTAACTTCGGAGTTCCGATGGAATCCGAAACCAGTGAGCTCTCAAAAGGCATCGTGCTAGATAGAGATGAGAATATACATATAAGGCTTAGAGAATCCACTCCCCTGAACGATGTGGAATGTTACATATGTTTCAGTTTAAATTTTAAAAATAAACTTAAAAAATGAGAACGAAATAATTAGCTAACGAATTTTAAGATTTTCGTGTTTTGTGTTTATATGCAACCGTAGGTAGTAGATGCCTCTCTAAGAATTGAATACGTTATAGCAGACGCTTCAAGCATGATTTACTAGATTATTATTTTAAGGGAACTTTAATAAAAAAAAACTCTCAGTATTGCTTACTTTAATGAAAAATCAATCTTGGTACTATTCACTTACAACACATTTTTATCATTTTCGTTAAAACTCAAAATTTTCAAACTATTTTCATTGATTTTCTTTTATTTTAATCCGTGGAAGTTTGTTAATGGTTAACGGAATGGAAATAATAAATGGGCAGCCAACAGAGAATAGTTAATAAATAATTATAGTTTACAGAGCTTATGGCAATTGGCAAAACTGTCGGACAAATAAAATTAATTACAAAGTCCAAATTAGGAAAACGATCCTCTCTCAATTCACTTTGTGGGAATCATAAAGATCCTCATATTCTAGTTGTTCATCATATATCGTGCAAACAATTTTTATCAGATATTATTTGTGTTTAATTTTATATAAAAAAATTAAATGATTTCTAACCGTATGATATATGAGCGGCAGGTAGTCGACAGCCGGCATTCCATAATCACGTCGAATCCTTATGAAAATGATATATGAGCATCCCTAAAAATCCCGTGGATCTGGATGGGATCCAATTCCAAAGTAAGCCGATTCTACCGGCATTAAACTGTACACTTTGTAGGGGGCAGATTAGTTGTGTGGTTCTATCTATAATTGCCCTCTCCCTTCTTCCACTATCTTCTGTTTGGCAACTAGGATATGCATGCACGTCATCCAACTCTATCTAACGTTCGTTTCGGATCAACTCTGGAACTAAGGGCCACAACCACTTATGGGGAGAAGAACATCTTGTGTGTTTTTCCCCACTCTCAAAAGGAGTAAGATTCTCTTTCCTCTTTTTTTCTCTTTCCTCCTATTTGAACGGTTATAGTTAAACCACGTCAACATCTTACATTAATTTTTTATAACAAGTGAACGACAAAATAAGAGAATGTGAGAGGAGGGAATGCAAAAAGAGGAAGGGAGAGAATCCTAGTCTCTCTCAAACGGGTCCTTAACATTTCAACTACGTTTGTGTCGTACGACTGTTTCATGCATTATTTTGTCGTATCTTGTTACAAGGAAGCTACAAGTTTTCGCTAAGATATATAAAATGAGAGGTGATTTCACATCGTTTTTAACTTCTCACACTCTTCTTTGTATTTTTAGTTATAAATTGAATAAATCAAATATAATCAACAGACAGATTAAGCACACATGTGATGCTAAAAAGGGTGTGTATTCATCATTTCCCTATAAGATTTGTATATTCAAATTAATCCCATTACCATAAGTTCATTAAACTTAGATATTCTAGGTATAGCTTCAACTAAGTTCAAGCTTTCTTTAGCTATGGATACCACAAGGACTTGGAAGCAAAATCTTAAGCACTAGATGGATGGTATTGTTAAATCATCTCCAACCGAAAGGTCCAGAGGGTCAAAAGGTCGAAAATAGCTTGAAAACCATCTCTAACCGAGGACTAGGTCAAATGGCTCATGGGCCCCACGGGACAAAAAAGGGCCAAAGGGCCAACCAGCTAGCCCACTTTTTGTTTTGTTATTTTCCATTTGCCCAGCTCACTTTTTCTTTTTTCTTTTTTTTAACGTTTATTTTTTTTTTAATTTCTAATTTTTTTCCCACACCATTTTTACATATTTTTTACTATTCCATATTATTTTACCTCATTTTAATTCAATTCTTCAAATTCCATACTATAGCCATTTGGTCCTCAATTAGAGATGGTTTTTTGTCACACGGCTATGTTTGGCCTATGATCCTCTGGCCCCTCGGTTGGAGATGGTAAGAAATATGATCATGTATTGTTCATTAAAATATTAATTTCTTGGAGGGTTCGGTTGGAGATGGTCTTATGTGTTTGACGTTTTAACCACCCCCTGCTGCAAAATTTTGGAATACCTAGCTGCTGAGAAGAGCGTTAAAACGGGATAAAATCGACACACAGGTTAGCTATACGATTATGTGCATCCGAGACGAAAAAATGCAACTTCTGCCTGAGGAAAACCTAGATCCTAGTACAGCACAAATGGACTGATTTACGAAAAATGAAGCACGGTACATGTGACACCGGTACTAAATAAATTTAGTGTGGATTATGAAGTCTTTACAACAATTACTCGGTAGGTTGACAAAATTATTAAATTATTGACCAAAAAAAAAAAGACAAAATTATTAAATTTGATCTTCTTGCTTAATTCTTACCTCGCAGAAGATGCATTAGCTCCTGGGATCAAGTTGATCGATCATGCCAGCCGCAATGTGCCAAACTGTCAATGCTCTTCCTTCTCAGTTTAGTTGACGGTTTATGTTGACGTGCCACAATCATCAAAAGAATGGAGTTCAGTGTGCCAAAAGCTCATGGTTCTTTATGTGGTTCATAATCTCTTCTAGCAATTTGTATATTTCTTTGCTTCTTTTATGTGATTTGTCACCCTTTCTGAATTCATGAACAATACCATCAAGTTCGATTGAACTACACCCGGGAGTTTTCTTCACGTTCTTTCCCTTCATCGCCCGTCTCAACTTCACTGCATCCCTCCATCTATTTGCAGAGGAATATATGTTAGACATGAGCACATATGCACCATCTCTCTCGGGCTCTACCTTCAGTAGTTTCTTCATCACACTTTCAGCAAGCTCTACTTTCCCATGGATCCTGCAGGCTCCCAATAGGGCTCCCCAAACAAAGGCATCAGGCTCAATTGGCATGTTTTCAACAAACTCCTCTGCCTCGTTTATAAACCCGGCACGGCCTAACAGGTCAACCATGCAGCCATAATGCTCTGTCTGAGGTCTGAGCTTGTGCACACTTGACATCTCCCTAAAATACTTCTGACCCTCTGCCACAAGTCCTCCATGACTACAAGCTGCAAGGACTCCGATAAATGTTACCTCATCCGGTTCAATGCCCACTCTAGGCATTTCAGCAAATACATCCAATGCCATCTCTACCTCCCCATGCATAGCTAACCCAACAATCATGGCAGTATATGAATATACGTCTCTGCGATTCATGCGTTGAAAAACTCTAAAGGCTCGGTCTATACTTCCACACTTAGCATACATATCCACAAGCGCATTTCCTATAAACCCATCTGCATCGATATGATTTCTATCAACATAAGCATGTACCCACTCCCCCATCTCGAGCACTCCAAGATTCGCGCACGAATTCAATACGCCAACTAAAGTAACATCATCTGGCTCAAGACCCATTCTTTGCATCTCCTGGAACACGTCCAACGCCTCCTTAAATTTCCCTTGGTGTGCTAAACCCGATATCATCGAATTCCAGGAAACCACATTTCTCACAGGCATCTCATTAAAGACTTTACGTGCAAAGTCGGCATCCCCACACTTCAAGTACATATCGACCAACGCATTGCCTATAAAAACATCTCGGCATACCCCATTATCGTAAATGTATCCACTGATCTTCCTACCCAAGCTCAAGTCTCCCAACTTCGAGCAAGCAGAGAGAACAATGACCAACGTCATCTCATCCGCCCTCATCTCAGCATCACACATCCTAAAAAACACTTCAACGCCTTCTCTCGGAAACCCCATTTTAACATAACCCTGAATAAGCGTAGTCCACGAAACCAAGTCCCTCTGAGGACTTTCATCAAACACCAACCGGACCCATTTCATAACCCCACAAACAGCATAAACCCTCATAAGAGTGTTATTGACGTACACATTGGACAAAACAAGCCCGGTTTTGATAGCGTAGGCGTGAATCTGCTGCCCCTCTCTCAGCGCACGCGACTGCGCGCACGCTTTGAGAACAGAGGGGACGGTGTAGTGGTCAGGAAGGATGCCATTGGCAAGCATGTGTCCAAGCAATTCAAACAGTTGGAAAAGGGAGGCTGTTTTGGTGGTGGGATTTGAAGGGAGGCCTTGGATGATGGCATTGTAGAGGGAGAGGCAGAGGTCTGGCTTTTCCAGGTGGTTTAAGAAAGAGAGGATGTGAGTGGAATGTGAGTATTTGTGTTTGTTTTTGTGAGGAGGAGATGGAGGAGAAGAAATGAGGTTCGGGTATTTGAGAGGGAGAGGCCTTGTTTTGATGAGAAATGAATGCAACTGTTTGAGTTGTGTTGTGCTTATTGATTTGCATGATTTGAGTCTCCCATAAACATGGACCCATAATTCTTGGGAGTTCATGTCATACACTCATATGGGGCGCGGCATATGAGGTTTTGCATCTATTGGAGTAGCCCTTGGAGATGCTTTAAGATAAGTTTTTTTAACTACAATACAACTTACGAATGTAAATTTGAGGTATAAAAGTCAATATTGCATCCTATTTGCATCACATTTACATTTTCAGAAGATGTAAAACAACGTATAAATTTATGTATTTGACTACTATACTTACAAATACTTATTACTATCATTATCTGACAATCAAAATAAGTTTTAGTGATATTTAATAAGCAACTATGACTGTCAGATGGTAATAGTACTAAGTACGTTTCCACTCAAATAAATATTTGACCTCCCATTTAAATTGTCCATGGAAGAGTCTTTGGACCAACAACTAATGTATACATATCTTATACATCGCCATACATACCGACTAAACATCCAGTTTCATTCCTTGTATTGGACCATTGGTCGGACAGTTTCATTTATATTTCTTTAATTACTGGTGGATGAATGCCATTTTTAAAATGACATGAATGCCCTTTTGAGGGCAAAACCACAAAGGTCAGCATAATCGAGGGTATGCTCATGCAACGGGAATGACAATATGACAGTATTTCAAGTCAATCACAAATGTCATATCACAAAATTGAAACGTATAACAATGCGTGATTGACTTGAAATACCGTCACACTAATTAAGATTCTCTCCTATCATACACAACCTACACAATTACAGTTATCAACCATATAAAACCATCAAGCACCATTATACAATTTCCTCAGATGCTACGTATCCTCCACCCAAATTTGTACACACACACTACTTATCTGACTAAACACATAACAGTTAACACCTTTTTCATGATTCATTCCGGCAATATAGCATTCAAAGTATATGGCAAAACATCATTTCCCAAAATAGTTCAACATACATGTAACGGAGTAATGATACAACGCAAAATTTCCCCGCTGCAGAGGCCATGGAACGTCCAAAACCAAGACGATAAACACACATACTAGATCAATCTCCAGCAAGACATCAGAAAACACAAAAACAATGCACATCTTGATCAAAATTCAAATCTATTGATAAACTAATTCCCCGACAAGAAATTCACAGGAGGGGGGTGGGGAAGGAGTATGGATTACTAAAAGTTTACTAAACGAAGAGAGAAGGATTAACAAATTCAGGAGTTGTAAGCGACTAGCTACTATACCTCCCTGGCTATACATCCCAACCATCCTTCCGCTCATCAAACTCCCACTTGCGCCCGGCCAAACTTCCATACATCTCAGAAAATTTCAGGAGGCAGTTGCTCCTTATATGGTAGTGAACTTTTGTATTTCGGCTTATTGCAGCACCAGATAACTTTGATGTATCTATTGCCCACGCTGGCCTCACATACTCCACATTCTTGGATTTGCTAGCATTTGCATACAAGTAATTCATCAGTACGTCCTCGCAGTTGAAATACTTGTCCACCAATTCCCTCGCTTGGCTAGCTTCTTTTCCCCAATACCTCTCGAAAGCTACTTGACTATCAAGGAAAGCTGCCCCCGTGAGAATCATGTTATATCCTTTATGGGTCCGGGCATATTTCTCACCTCGATACTTCAATCGGCTTCCGTCAATTAGTCGGGGGTAGAACCCCACAATACGATCTGGGTGTTGGCGCCATATCCTGAATCCCCTCTCAACATCATTGCAAGTCATCATAATGTCGTCATCAAGCTCAAGAACTGCTCGGGTCTTTATCAAAGAATCCAACTTGAACCGATTATTCAGTGAGTTTTGTTTCTCTACTCTGATCCTAACCGGCACTGTGGAGTCAAAGTCGCTAACTTCAGGTGGTATTCCTTTGTTCCACACCACAACAATTTCTCGCACTGAGGAACATCTGGAATAATGTTTAACATACATTTTCAAATTCCAGAGACGAGCGTCATAGGTCATTGTTAATAAGGTGAACTGCGAGTAATGACCTTTCCATGGATAAGCTTCTTCTGCACCGCTACCACCATAGATATATTTAACCCCTGTGCACATAGCTGCAACTCCAAACGCCAAAATTATAGCAAGAACCAGTCTTCCAGCACAGGTATTAGGTTTAATCCTACCTCTGAGGAATGAAACTCCTCTGTTCAAGTGGCTGCAAAACCGTCTCACTTTGGAAGAAAACAAATGTGACCTTTCCCAGGCCAAGAACGCATCACTCCGCTTACCTGAGTAGTGAGTGCACCAATTGAGAGGAATCATGCACTTCACAGCTCCAAGTAGTACACCCATCAATATAATGAGTACAGCAACAACGGCAACTGAAGCACTGCCAAGAATAAACCTCCGAACTGAATCCCCAGATGGTACCCGGTCTCCATCCATCACTCCAACCCACTCACCAGTATTTATTTGCTGCACGTCTAGATGATGATAGCGAGCACCGTTCCAAGCATTACGGCCCTTACTTGGCTCTATCAAGCCCAAGGGAACTTCAACTTCTTTGTAATCATCTTTGGTAAGAACTTCCACCTTAAAGGTACGCACTCTTCTCCCATATGTTTCACCGCAGTCTTGACCAACACGATAAAGATTTCCTTTGTAGAAAAATGGTCTGCCTCCATTTCGAGCCCCAAAGCTCTTGTCCCTATTATATATAGGGTTCTTCTTGTGTGGTTTCCAAGGACCAAGAGGGGAGCTGCTATACCAGATTTCCAACTGTCCATTCTTTGTGGTGCCAAATCCAGTGTGATCTGAACCAAACAACCAATACGCTCCATTATAATCGATTATGAAAGAATCAACAAGAGGCTTTTTCATGATCACTCTCTCCAGAGTCCATTGCAAAGGAAAATTGAGTGCTCGGTATAGACGAACATCCCCTTTCATACCACCCTCAGGCATCATATATATCTGTAAGAAACAATAAAAAATAAGTTATACAACAGATATCGATTTTACCCTAGAAAATTAGGTGATAGGTGCTTTTTTATGCAATCAATGTATCCCGTTAAGCTGCAACTTGACCAAAAATGCATCAAACAACTGTGTAGAAATAATCTGTTACAGTTCTTTACTTTCATTCACACTGGTGACAGGATCAAATGGGCTGGTGTGCACGTAAAAAGAAGTGTGTTCTTACTTGGCCAAGGTAGTTGAAGACATACGGGTAAGAGAGATGCCACTCTTCGTCCAAGGCAATGCCCAATTGCTGCCATGTTGCTCCCTTATCAATACTTTTTGAGACTCCAATATCTCCTTGCAAAGTGATTGAATTTTTGGTTTCATAGAACAAGTAAAAAATATCTCCCTGAAACAAAAATCAGAGATATTGAGTAGCACGATCCAAGTAATTCTAAGAAAAGTGACAACAGTTAAGACCTTAAAACGTGCAATTCCGACATATCAGAATATGCATATCCAAGTAAACACACATTCAAAACACATGCACACTACACACACACACATGCAAACACCACTAACAGTCTCCAAAAGGTCTATTGAGCTGGAAAAATCATAGTACAGCTCAATTAAAAAACAACAGAGACAACATTCCGGATTTTCTTTTGTTTACCACATTGTAAACAACTTGGTCAGCATAAAACCAGTTCTTGCCCAAAAGGAAAAAACATTAAATTGTTAAAAACTCGTCGAATAACTTTTGATTTTTGTTCAGGAAATCATTTTTCCCCCACAGGATGACGAGGGAAGGAAGGAGAGCCTCTCTTCCAAAAAAAAAAAAAAAAAAAAAAAAAGATTTCTGTCCTTCATGGTGACAGACAATCACATCCTGGTCCAAGTGAAAAGATCTAAAAGAAATAAGAATACACAAAATAACTACAATAATTCCTCACTTTAGCACTTTCTAATCCATTCCTCACTTTAGCACTTTCTAATCCATGTACCAAATAAAACAGTAGTTTTCCTTTTTATCAAAGCCAAACAATGAGAAATGACCTTTTTTTCCTCAAGGAAATCATTTTTCTTGGAAGAATTTTCTACCAAAGCAGACAAAATATCATTGACAACTTATATTGGCTGTCCCTTTCAAGGTGTTGTGCATATCACGTTTAAGAATGGGAAAACATAACAAACTCGGAAAATCAAAACAAATAACCAAGATATACAACACCAAGAATTAACATGGTTCCGCTATATGTGTTACATCCACGGGGCAGGAACAACAATCTTTCACTATCTCAATAATGGGTACTACGGATAATCTTGCAATACCTCTCTTTTCTTGACCAAAAAGAGACATAATATTCTCTCATTCTAACTCCTTCAAGAACAAGAAATACACTCTTATCTCTTTTCTTTTCTCTCACACACACTTTGCCCTCACAATATTCTCTCACTCTAACTCCTTGACACATTGTTTTGCTCCAATTCAAAACTAGTGCAATAGCCCCCTTAGACATAATAAGGGTCTTCTTCAATAAGAATTACTAATCCTAATTGGAATCTAGTTATGAATCATTCTCCAATTGAGAAACCAACCCCAGTTGTGAAAACAACTTCAAATGGGTAAACAATTTAAATTGGGTAAACAACTTCAATTGGGAAAACAACTCAAATTGGGAAAACAACTTCAATTGGGTAAACAATTTAAATTGGGAAAACAACTCCAATTGAGAAAACAATTTCAATTCGGTAAAAAATTGTATCCTCTAAGATATAATTTCTAATAGACTTAAGGACAACTCATCATGGGCTGAAAAACCCAACACAGAATGCCATGACAATTTTAGTAAGTGGTGATCCCATGCAAAGAACTATCAGAAAACAAACAGGGTCTTATATTATAAAGTTACTTGAATGCATCTTATATTACCAAGTTATTTTTTTTGCCACAAGAACCATACAGAGAAGAAAAGGAATACCATGTTAGCAACAAAGAGGGACGCTCTCACTACCATCTGGGCCCTAATCAAAATCATGTTTTGCTTGAGAAAGACGTATCAACCAAACATAGCCATAGCACAACGTCAAATGGTGTATGAATGAAAGGTTGAAATTAAATAACCAATGAACGACCACACCTATCATGTATCCATAATGCCATCATGTATCCATAATGCACTTAATGTCCAATACAACTCTCCAACAAATGACCTGTCTACTTCACACCAACAGATTGAGCACAGAGATGACAAAAAATATCACTAATGTCAACAGACTACAACACAATATCATCATCTCGCTTATACTCACTTAAACTTGTTATCACTGTTGCC